TTGGTCAAATTTTGATCGTTGATCTGAATTATAACAATTTTATGAAAAAATAGAATATTCTCCGGTAAACAAACTACAATGGTTTTTCCCGGTCTTTCTATTCAAAAAGGATATTCACTCGGATGTGCGGTGTGGTTCTCGGATCAAGGCCCTGTGTGGGAGATCCGGGAAACTCTAAGAGAAGAGGAGGAGGAGAAAGAGTGCGGGAAAATTATTTTCGAAAAACTTGTTTCAAATATCAATTCTGAGCACTAATACAAGTTATTGCAGCTGGCTTTTGATCTATCGAAATTACTTTTATAGAAGAAATAAATAAATTTCAGCAAAAACAATGTGCCAAAAAAAATGAACCTATGCTTGTGTGAGAAGCTCTTGACAACACCGTAGATGTACATGTAGAGATTAACGGCTGCAACGAATGCGACCAGAAAATCGAAGAGAAAGCATGGCGGTAATGGAAATGCATGAAAGAGATACATTTGAAGTGTTGTTACTGGCATTGAAACCCAAGCATAGAACGATAATCCAAGTAAGATCTGAAGTAGCATTCAAAAAATTTTTCAAGATTTTTCATTTTCCTCTTTAATTCTAACAAAGAACTCAAAACACAACAGAGCAACTGGAATTTTGCTTGTTATATATCAAAAATTCTAAGATCGCCCGGAATTTCATTGTGGATACTTTGTGTTAGTGATGTGATTGGGATGATCCTGTAAATCGACGTGCAGCTATGCCAAGTCCTTCGATCATGGGCTGCATACCTCCAATTAATATTCACCCCCTGTTTAGTTATATAATATGAATATAAGAGAATCCGACGAAGCAGCATTGGTAAAAAATAACTGGAAAAGTTGCCAAACGCATAACTGGAGAACCAAGTTATAAACTACGTTTGATCAAATATTCAGAGTACTAATTCACAGACTTATTCCCAACAACTAGCCGTATTTTCATTTTTTCTTTTCCAAAAACTTCAAACTAATAGTTCCAATGATCTCAGTTACGTGGAAGACTGTCGTGTAAAAATTGCGAAAAAACAAATAAATGGCAACGCGCACCAGACTAGCCGGTGCGATCATGCGTTTTGTGCAATTCAGCCCATCGAAATTACCTATTAATGATTTCCACTGCTTTGTACTGTGGTCTATGTAAAAACAGTTCAAACATTGGAAAACAGCTAAAAATTTCGCGCATCAGCGTATGAAAGCTGAATTCGAAACCTTGAAGGATGAATATCTTTCCGTGATTCCCGAGTCTTACCCGCCAAAATCTCACGAGGCCTTAGGTGATAACCGGGAGCGCGAGAACGCTAAATTTGAATGGGCAAAGTTGAGCGTGGGCAGGGGGTCACTGCCCTAGAACTTCAGCCCCCTAGACAGGGTGGTTCCCGAGATATTAACTTACCCGTGAATAACCTTCACGAAGCCGTACGTGTTACCAGCGGGTAAGGAAAGGCTGAATTTGAATGGGCAAGGTTGAGGGTGGACAGGGGGTCATTGCTGTAAGACCTCAGCCTCCTAGACTCCGAGGTCCCCGAGATATTAACTTACCCGTGACTTACCCGTGAAAAACTTT